ACCCTTCCTCCCCCCCCTACCTCCCATACCTTCCATCCCCTCCCCCTCCCCGTCCCCCCAACCCCTCCCTCCTTCTTCCCTCCCCCGTACCTCCATCCTCCCCCTCCCCTTCGCCTCCCCTACCCCATCCCTCCCTCCATCCCCTTCCCTCGTACTTCCATCCCCTCCTCACCCCCCCTCCCCTCCTCACCCTCACCCCTCAGGAAGCGAAAGGGGGTTTTCGGACGCAAGAACACTCGACTTTATCTCGTCTCTGTCAGTCCGGCCAGATGTCGCTTATCTCCGCGCGTGATCACGGTGTCTGTCTGTCTGTCTGCTTGTAACTTGTCTTGCGAGGTTCCTCCTATTGATGTCTGGTCTGGTTTGTCTGCTTGGCTTGTGTGTGCGTGTGTGCGTGCGTGTGTGCGTGCGGTGTGCGTGTGTGAGGGAGGGAGGGAGGAGTGAGTCTTGGATGTCTTTGGTTGGTTTTGCTTCTTCGTTTTTTGTTTTGTTTTGTTTTTTCTTTCGAGTCTTTTTTTTTGGTTTTTGGTTTTTTGTTGTTTTTGTTTTTTTTCTTTTTTTTTTTGGGGGGGGTCTATTTGTCTGTCTGTCTGTCTGTCTCTGTCTCTTCTGTCTGTCTTTCTGTCACTGTCTTCTCTGTCTCTCTCTCTTCCTTCTCTCTCTCTTCTCTTTCTCTTTTCTTTTCCATTTCTCCTTTTATTGATGGCGGAGTCCAGGTTTGACCAGGGAGCCAGAATTTTGTTGTAGTGTTGTATTTTTTGTTGTCGTCACCTTTGTTGCTTTTCGCTGATTTGATTATTTTTCTTCTCTTCTGCTTCCATCTTCCTTTTATGTTGTCTATCTCTTTCTTCTCACTTTTCTCTCCGTCTTTTGTTGAAGTGGAAATATGATCTTTCCTCTCGCCATTCTTGTCTTTTTAAAATTCTCTATTTCTTAATATCTTTATCTATCTTTTCTCACTCTTTTTTTAACTCTTTATATCTCTTATTTCTTTCTCCTTCTTGAGCCCTTTATCTTTCTACTTCTTCCTCTTTTTTTAATCTCTTCCTCGCTTTTTCTCATTCTTAATCTCTTTGTCTCTCTTTTCTTCTTTATCTTTCTTAATCTCTTTACCTCTCTTTTCTTCTTTATCTTTCTTAATCTCTTTATCTTATTTTTTCTCTTGCTTTCTTTATTTCTTGATCTCCTTCTTAGTCACTTTATCGCTTGTATTCTATATATTAATATCTTCATCTCTCTTCTTTCTCTCTTCATCTTTTATTTCTCTTTCTTAGTCTCTTCATCTCTTTTCTTTTCTCTCTCTCTCTCTTAACATCTTCATCTCTCTTTCTCCTCCTCTTTATAAATATCTTTATCTCCCCTTTACTTTCCCTTTCTTCATGTTTTAATTTCCCCTTTTCTTTATCTCTCTTAAGCTCTTTATCTCTTTTTCTTTCTCCTTCTTACCATCTTCGTCTCCCTTCTTCTTTCCCCTTATTCTCTTCATCTCTTTTCTCCTTTCTCTTCCTTACCCTCTTCAAATCTCTTCTCTTTCTTAATTTCATTAAGTCCCTTTTCTTTCCCTATATCATTTCCATATCTTCATCGTCGGCTCCTTTTTTTTTTCGATTTTCCTTGTCCCTCTATCTGGTGTGATTCTGAAGCGGAAATTAATTTTCACCACAAGAATTCGAAAGTTGTGGACAGAAGCTGAAATGGAAACGCATGTATTTTCATAGTCGGATATTTGAAATTCCATTTTTACTTCTCGTATCTTTTTTTTTTTTCATTTCTCCTCGGTCTAAAATTCATATATACATGAGTACGGAGATGCGTGTATATCACTGAATGAAATTTCTCTTTTTGATCTCTCGTGGTGACAAGGTTGGACGTGGGAGGCTGATGATTCGCCCGTTCAGAGCCCAGATATTATGGCTTATATAATACCCATGATGTTATATTTGATATTGCAGTACGGAATTATATTGATTTAATGGAGGGTGCGTGTTCGTTTTATCGTCTATGTAATGGGGTTTCATCTGTACGACGTAATCAAGGAATGGAAGTAAGTGAAATCGTATGTTAAATCCCGTAGAGTTTATCCACCGGTAACGCGTATGAAATTTTGGTCAGTATGTAGAACAATGTGGAACAATTTAAAAAAAAATACTTACTGTTTCGCAGAAAGAACAAAACGCATTCAAAGGAGAGTTGGAACAATAACTACGAGAGGAAATATAAATAGAGACATTAAGTTTTGAAATGAACTGTTTCGTTTACGGCGATGAGTTCAGTGAAGTGTGAAGAATTTCTCTGCTTTCCCTTTCATCATTTCTCCTTCGCTGTTCCGCTCTCATGCTCCGTCTCCTTCATTTTAATGATTTTTTTCGACTTTTTCTCTCTTCGCTGCGCTTGAATCTCTCGATGCATATGCAGACGTTCGTGTGAAATGTTCATCTGCATACAACACCACACACATACATATACACATATAATATATATATATATATATATATATATATATATATATATATATATATATATATATATATATATATATATATATATATATACATATATATATATATATATATATATATATATATATATATATATATATATATATATATATATATATACGCATATATACACACAAT